GGGAGGCTAGGGGACAATGCGATTACACTGAAATGAGGGGGCAAGGCGGTATTGCTGTCTACAAATGAACAATTTGTAGGATAGGTTACTGAAAATAATTTATTGCAGTGATTCTGTGATCAGTGTATACACCAAAAGGGCTGTCTCTAAAATAGGACCAAATAAAGAAACTGTTAAATGGATCAAAATTTTTCATACACTATTGCTATATGGACGCAAGCCTATACGACGGTCATGTAAAGTCATGAGCGCATCAGAAAATTAATAAATGCATTAGAATTTTTTTGAACGCTGACAGACAAAAGTAAACAAACAGTAGTAGAGTACATGTGATCTGGTCCAATTAATGATATGCCATATTTCATAATATATATGCGAAGAATGCCAGTAATTTTTCTTTCAAAAGCCATGCTTAAAAAATTCCAGATAACTTTAGTTTGGTCAAGGTAACAATTCCATTGCATCAGTATCAAATACAAGCAATGGAGGGACCACAGACAATAATGTGTCGACATAGAGCAGCCCTTTTGCCAGTCCCTACATCCCTTGTATAGTATTGCTGCCTACTTTTCTACAATAAGAACACACACCCTACCCCTACAAGTATTGAACCAGATAGCTGTTTCTTGTTTTTCTAACTATGCAAGAACAAAAAGTAGATTAGCCCTCCTGAAGGATCAGTGTTATTTTACCCTCAAAGCAACCAAAAATGAGTGTGAGTTATGCATTCCTTTGTTTTAAGTTCCACCAACATAAAAAAATGAGAAAAAGACCACTATTCAAGGATTCAGCGGATTGAAGTCACAAAAGTTCGTTTTTTTTATAGTAGAGGGTTTTACAGCGCTCGCAACTGCATACGGTCATATGAACGCCAAGGGGTGGGTGTCAACAGAGAAGTCTTTACAGGGAATCAGACTTAGACTGCTCACCTCTCTAGCTTCAAAAGCACAAGGTCTGCTTCAACTATCAAGGCACCCCAGAAATAGCAGGTCACAAGAGAGTGACAAACATACAAAAAAGAAGTAGAGGAAAATGTCAATAGTAAGGATCAGGAAAAAAAAAGCAGCAGTTCCCTGTTGTAGGTCAGGCACAGTTATGAGCGTGACATAAGTCAGCCCATTTACAATTCTACTATGCTTGAACGAGAAATGCCCCCCCTTTGAGAAGGGCCTAAAGACACTACAGCCAGTGGCACTGCCCCGGGGGGTAGTCACAAAGGCGCAACCAGACATAATTGCAAAGAAAATATTACCCACAACTAAACATAAAAGTTGAAGCATGAAGATTTGACTATAAAGAAGCACATTGACACATTAATCATCATATAGTGCATGGAAGAAGCAAGAAAACAGACAGACAGAAACACAGAGGGAAATAAAAGATAATATTTGGAATACTATGACAACCTATTATGACTATATGAAAATAAGAAATGTTTAGAGCAGAATAACTGAATACTTCCTCCCCATGTAAAAAAAACTTGGTGAGAACAACCATAAAGTTTGCAAACTAATTTTTAAAAGTACATCCACCACAATGATCGAATTCCCAAAGACCACGAAAATGCAACTCACCATCCGGAAACAAGTAGTTCAGCAGGGGGAGCTTGGAGGAGTGTTTCCGCCACAGACGAAGGACATAGTCTTCCCATCTCACCATCTTGCCCAAGACCAGCATGAGTGGAATAGTAGGAAGTCCAATCAAGAGAAACAAAGGATCAGCCTGTTCCATCACATTCAGGCCTTCCTTATGTCCCAACACCTTGGGTAAAACGGGACAGAAAAAAGTTTATCAACAAAGGACATAACAGTACATTGAATTTTTTTGGCCTTTCAGAAGGCCAAAACAGGAAAAATTCATTATTGCTGATTATTAACCATATTATTATACTGAGTCCTGTCACAAGAAGTGGTGAATAAAAGAACACAAGGAAGCATCAAATTAAGGTCTTCAAATGAGAAAATATAGGTGTAGTCGACAGTGTGATACCATAGATTCACTTCAACATCAATTAAGCAACTCAGAGATAGCTGGCATCTACCACTCTCGCCTCTCTTAATTTTGTCAAATAACAATTGTGCTTGTGTAATGAGCCTATAAGGTGTACCTGTTTGTTTTGTTTTAGTAGGGAATGTTTTTATTGCCAACGCATTTTCTTTGTATTATTTCTTCACTTTTTACTACAACCAACTTGACATGTACATTACATATGGAGGACTTTTTGTAAATCTATGTAAAAGTTTTTAAAAACAGACTGAATATTCAAAGATTAAAAAAATTAAAAAACATACCTGCATAACAGTGACAGCACCATAGGTAACCATTGTCCAATAAACTGTTCCAATAAATATACCACCAGCCACAAAAGGACACATCTTGTATATGACTCTGTCGATGATGTCCATGACGTACACAACTGGCCCTGAGAGCAATGAAATCAGATGTTACAACTAATGTAAATGTTGATAAATTCATAAGCAAAATTGGAGAGCAGTGATCATTACATGAAAACAAACATGTTTTTCCAGCCTTTACGATCATGATTAAAAGTTAGATAAAATTTAAGCTCTCATCCTGACGGATATCTCTCACAAGAATAGTTTGGAAGAAACAAGACTTCACAAAAGACGGTAAAAAATAAAATTCACAGCAAGACTGAACTCAGCCCACGACTGATAAAAATGGGACTCAAGAAGCAACTGCGCCAACAGTGCCAACAGGACTTTAAAACAACACAAGATCTATGCATATCCTTGTAAAAATAGCATAATAAGAATAGCAGACGACATTACAAAGTTCTTTCAAAATTAATATTGATGTTAATGTAACTTACAGAAGAACAGAACTTACCTAATTTGGGAAACAAGATGAGGTATTCTGTATTGCATTGTGGGCAGGCTACTTTAACAGTGCTGTTCCCTTTTTGTTTCTCATCTACCCATCTTTGTAAACAGGTTTGATGAACCCATTTTGCTGTGCCGCGGCATCTGCAAGGCCGTACCCACTGGGCACTGCGATCATCCTCCTCAGTAGCAAAACATACCCAACAGGATCGCCTATCGTTAAAAAATCAAATTTCTTGAACAGTCAAGTAGCATATAGAAATTCACATTTCAAACAGCATCCCTTAAAAATGGCAAATAATTTCTGTACAAGAACAATCCTGTTGTGGTGACAAAAGAGAGTCAAGAAGCCTGACACAGAGTGAGAAAAGCCAAAATAAAACAGTACCCCCCAAAATTCTTTGAAACCCAAGCAAACAGTGTAAACTAAAAAGACAACATGCATTATAAAACTAAAATACTGTCACCCATACTCCTCAACACTCCACAATATCAGTTCACAAATTTCATATCGTAACTTGAAACAGCTGCCTTTGGACCACGAAACGTAGAACAATTCTACAAATATGGATGATTTTGAGCTTTAAAGCTACCTATATCTTAATCAAAACTTTTAGACAGACAACCATCGTCTTCTTTTCGATTGCATCGTGTTTGAAGACCAACGTCCCACTTGTTCTGAATTGGGTCATCTAGCTTAGTTCTATCGCTGGCCTACAGATCCAGCTTCTCCGAAAGTGTAAATGGGGTTGGCCACATTTCCTATCTTAGGATTCTGTGTGTCCTGCACTGCTGCAGGATGTGTTCTCTAAGCTGACAATCTGGAGATTGTACATATTAAAACTGTCTGCAGATGCAACGTTTGAGTCTAGTATGCTGCAAAACAACAAGCTAGTTTATTTGATATCGACATCCCTTTCATTTTAAATGGTGGGTTTGGGTTGTGATACAATTGTGTTTAACACAGAAAAAAGCTCCACTCTATCTTAAAATACAGTCGAACCCGCTCTAACAACCACCTGTAAAACAACTACTTCCTCCTCCATTCCTTGTGTGCTTTTAAATAGCATAATTTGATTGTCATTGTCCAACTTTTCTCCTCTACAATGGGTGGCCGTCTTTGATACTTTTGACTGTATCTCCATATCAAAAGAACTGTTTGTCAATAATCAAAACCTTACCTATCCTGATCTGACTGCAGGCGGCTGTAGGACATTGTTTATGGTCAGACACTCCCACATTGACAAAACCTGAAAACAAAAACAGGACTTATAAACAATATTGTCCTTGAGATAGTTTCCCATATCTAACGGACTAAGGAGACCTCAATTTTTTACTGCTTTTGCTATCAAATGATTCAATGTATTTTTTTGTATTAGAGGGGGTTCTCATGGTCTAGAGGTTAAGGTGTTTTCCTTTCATTCAATAGGTCCTAAGTTCGAAACCTGACAGTGACGGAAAATTTTCTTCTCTAAAAATGTTCTCCTTTCACCTCCTTTCCTGCTCTCTAACCATAATGTTTCGTCTGCAATTTCTGCCCTCACCCCCTCCCCTGTTTGCCCCTCCTCTGGGCTCCTGACTCTTTCTGCACCCTTCTATTGCTACTCCTTGGCTCCTTCTTACTACTGTCTTTCAGCCACACCCCTGATCTAAGGGTAGGTAAGATCTACCATGGCCTTCTCGGAAAAGGGCGAAAAATCTTTGAGGTCCGGTGAGCAAGTTGTGCACATTAAAGATCCCTTGGTGGTACAAAATTGACAAGAGTAGGCTTCGACCACCACGAGGGAGATATTCAAAATTAATTCCTCCTACCAAACTGAAAATGTTTGTGTCCCACGCTCATATGACGCAGTTGCAAAAGCGTCATAAAACACTTACCAAAATTTTTTTTTAATTGTTCTTTTTACCCGTCACACAGCAAAATATTTAATAAAATCCATAATTTGTTGGTTTGATCTATTTGCTAATGGCTAGAATTTCCTTCCTGGAGGGACTAAAGCTACCACTTTGGCACAATTTGATCAAAACCTCCAAACATTAGCATTCCCAAACTGTGTCTCTTCCCATGAGCATCATTAATCTGTCCTGGGCCATCCTTCCTAGCTCGTTCCAAGTGAGCTTTATCTCTCTCATTTATGTCCCTTTCCAAACATCTCCTCCATGTTTCCCGTGGCCTACCCCTGCCTCGTGCTCCCTGTTGGTTCCACTCCTGATTGCAGCCACTGTCTTGTGATGTTTCCGCTGGGCTTTCTGAAGGTGTGTCCCATTCATCGCCCCTTTCTTAGTGCCTATTTTTACTTCTCTATATCCTTTTGTCCTGTCCTTTCCCATAGCTCTTCATTTCTTATTCTATGCTTTCCAGACATTTGATAATTGATTGAATGCTAACCTTGCCTTGGCGGTTCTTGCTTTTACATCTGCCTCAGTTTCACCTCTACCATCAATGACACTTCCAAGGTAGGTAAAGGAGTTCACTTCTTCCAGGGGAGGGTCTTCCATCGTCATAGCAGGGCTTGAAACTTTTTCTAGCTTCACTACTTTCGGCTTGTCTGAATGTATACGTAGGCCAACACTCCTTGATAGGCTGTTGAGTTCCTTAGTCTTTTCTTGCATCTGAGCATGTGTGTGAGAGAGCAGTGCAAGGTCATCAGCGAAGTCCAAGTCAACCAGCTGCTGCCAAGGGATCTACAGTATTCCATTTCGCTTGCCTCTTGGTGGCTTCTTTCATGACCCAGTCAATTGCCAGTATAGAGAAAAGGTGAGAGCAAGCATCCTTGTCGCACTCCTGTCTTGACCTGGAATGGTCTTGAGAGTTGTCCTTCGTGGAAGACTTGGCGGTTTGTTCCATCATAGGTGGCCTTCACAAGCTTGACGATTTTGTCAGGTATTCCATAATGCCGCATGAGTTTCCACAGACTTTCCCTGTCCTTGCTGTCAAATGCCTTTTCATAATCAATGAAGTGGACCACGAGTGGGGAATTCCATTCACGTTCAAGCAACTGCTCAACAATGATGAGGAGAGAAGCCATCTGTTTTAGCAGAATCATGCCTGGTTTCCCTTCCCATGAGCAACAGCACAAAATTTTTATTTCTATTTTTAAAAAGCCACCCAGTTCAGTAGTTAAATTAAAATTTAAGACTCAAAAATTTGTGAGCAGACAAGTTATCTAAGTTTCACAGTGAGGGGAATAAAACTACAAACAATATGATCTTATTGCATTATAAATTTGTCTAGCCCCAAGAACAACACAGAACATTGTGTTCGACACTGTTAGAGGACCTGAATATAAACATATAAGTGTATACACCCCCTTACATCAAACTAGCTGGTCCAAATGTATTGAGACACAACTGTAACATGCATAACCCATAGGGTATCAATTGGAAATTTTCCTGTTTTATAGAGGCTGCACTCTTTGGATTAGAAGGCCTCAAACCATATATTACTCAACAGACAGCAAGCTAATCAGACAGC